CAGACATGGTCACTTCCCAACCGAGAAAAGAAAATTAGTAAAAATGGAAATGAGATGTCTGAGAAAAGATGCAGTTGTGACCAGAAAAGATCAAATCAGAAATGACAGAAGAGAAAAGTTTGGCACAAAACCAATTCTTTATTACATATAAAACAGCAAATCAAATGGTTTGCCCATTTGGAGAGAATGCCGCCTGATGCCATACCATATAAGGCATACACCAAGAGAGGAGAAGAATATGGAGCATACAGTAGACCAAAACAAAACGGAGAGATAACATCAGAAAAACTCTTAAACAGCCTTATATGTCTATGGCCAAGGCAGACAGAAGAGCAAGAAGCTGAACCTCATATATACACGCAAAGTGGTAAAAGAGGAAGTAAAGGAGAAGAAGAAATGTTGGCAGGAGAGCACAGGTATGTGAGACAGAAGGAGAGCATAGGTATGTGAGACAGAAGGAGAGCACACACAGGTTTGTGAGACAGAAGGAGAGCACAGGTATGTGAGACAGAAGGAGAGCACACACAGGTATGTGAGACAGAAGGAGAGCACACACAGGTATGTGAGACAGAAGGAGAGCACAGGTATTTGAGACAGAAGGAGAGCACACACAGGTATGTGAGACAGAAGGAGAGCACAGGTATGTGAGACAGAAGGAGAGCACAGGTATGTGAGACAGAAGGAGAGCACACACAGGTATGTGAGACAGAAGGAGAGCACAGGTATGTGAGACAGAAGGAGAGCACAGGTATGTGAGACAGAAGGAGAGCACAGGTATGTGAGACAGAAGGAGAGCACACACAGGTATGTGAGGCAGAAGGAGAGCACACACAGGTATGTGAGACAGAAGGAGAGCACACACAGGTATGTGAGACAGAAGGAGAGCACACACAGGTATGTGAGACAGAAGGAGAGCACACACAGGTTTGTGAGACAGAAGGAGAGCACGGGTATGTGAGACAGAAGGAGAGCACAGGTATGTGAGAGAACTGGAGAGCACAGGTATGTGAGACAGAAGGCTCTGGACAGACAAAATCATCTCTTTCTCTACTGTTTGCCCTTAAAGAGTGGTTGAGATGATGTGTTGTGGTTTGCAGCTAGCCTGTGAAATCTGCAATTGTTGGCCCAACACATTTAACTTCAGCAAAATCCTGATTCGTCACCTTGTATGGCACTGTATAACGTCCTGAAACCAGAGGTATTTTGGCCGTGTTAAATGTCATACCTGGCCTAGATAGAACGGTAATGGAGGATACAGTTTCCAGAAAATGAAGTGCGTGTATCAGTTTGAGTGCTGACAAAAGACTTTTAAGAATCGTCTCACGCTGTTTTCCTCTGTCTCTCTTTTCACAGATCTTTCCAATGGTCACAACATATTCTATTTTCCCTTTTCTCACAACATGACCACAAAATGATGACTATCTCTTTCTGATGTTTGTGATAAGTTGTCTTCGAGCATTAGACTTTTGCAGAACATCCGAGTTGCTCTTCCTAGCTATCCAAGGAATTTTAAGGATTCTTCTGTAAAACCATGTCTAAGAGGCCTCAAGATATTGTTCGGCTCATTTATTAATGTCCAGGCTTTACTGGATATGTTAAAACTGGCTCTATAGCATGCAAGAATTCTTTTCCTAACCTCCAATGACATGGACTTATTGCACAAAATAATTTTAATCTCTAGCTTTCACTGTTGGCCCCTTCCTGTCTTTCAAGATAGAATCACTGTATTTCTCCATATATATATATATATATATATATATATATATATATATATATATATATATATATATATATATATATATATATATATATATATATATATATATATATATATATATATATATATATATATATATATATATATATATATATATATATATATATATATATAAAGGCTCTCCCATGTATATAAGTCCCGTCTGTTTGTTTTTTGTAGCTCAAAAAGAAGAATTAAATATTTAAAATATAAAACAGATCAACAGTGATGATATGGATAACGCATGCATTTATTTGTATACTTAATTGCAACATTCCGTGTAAAAGACAATCCCCCAATTTTAAACTTAAACAGTTTGAGAAAACATATATAGTCTTATACTCTGAAAACATGATACAGTGTCTTAAACAAAGATATGGGAATCACTCACTACGGCCAGGGATGCAGTATTGTAGAGACTATGTGTTGCCCATACAGCATGACATCCACTCTCTGCCTGCCTTGTTTACTTCAAAGAAAAGGTAACACCTGTACATTTGGAACACAGCATGCTGATGAAACTGCCGGATAAGAAGAGCAGTGCTCTGTCCACATAGTACAATAATAGTACAAAGCATGGTACCAGGAAAGATCGGTAGGGGCCGACCAGCATGAAGATAGGCACAGGATACAAGTGACACCTTGGGTAGGAAAAAACAGGAGGTGGTAGAGCTGGTGAGAGGGCAGGTTTCTTTTCAGGCAGATCCTGTTGAGAGTGACATTCTGCAAAGGACTTGCTACAAGATAAGGATAAGGCAGCAATGTGCTCTTCTGCTCAAAGCTGCTGACATAGATGGGTAGTCAGATCTGCTTTACAGTACCCAACATTCAGCACGAATGGAGAACACCTAGTACAACTACTTCATAGCTTTACTATCTGAAATATCCACTCTTTTAACTCAAAAAATGTCATAGCTGATATGCTAGGCAGGTAAAAATGACAAAACAAAAGCACAGGTATGTTACTTCCATAGGGGCCGAATACCTGACAACTGTGAGACAATTAAAAAGTTTAAATAATGCGGACACAAACAATACATTTCATGATTTATTTGCTACACATTTCATTATTTCATCAGGTGCATTACTGTAGAGTTACATCAACCCAGAATGAAGTATATAAAACATCAATTTTTTTTTCCCCATTTGAAATACAGAAATCACATTGTCTTCTCTAGTCATGCTGTACACCTCACAAAACAGAAGTTCAAAACAGTCATGTGATTACCATGGCAATTTTAAATTTACCACATGCTCCTTTTGTCTGCACAATAAGGAGTCATTCATTTTTACTGACACACCTTCCACTAATTTCAGTAATCGTCTGCCTGTTCAGTATGTAATAAATAACATTGTGTGTAAGAACAAAAAGCACAGCCCCTATCTATTACATGCTCACTCTGTGACTGCATCATTTAAATTCACTATAAGAAAACACCTTTTTGAACAATTAAGTTTTTACAGTTCTTCATTTAAACAAAAAATGTGAAAACAAAATGCAATGTTTTTTTTTTTTATATGTGTAAATAGGTCCTGCATGGTGTCTGGCTTCAAGCAGATAAAGTTTATTTGACCTTTTCTCTGCCAAAATACAACTTAAAATCTAAACAAGGTCTCCGTGCAGACGTGGTAAAGCTATTTGCCACACACTATGAAGGTTCTGTGTTCAAATTGGACTCTGTCAATCAGCCGGCTAATACTTGGCGCTTCGAAATTCCAGGGGTTGTCACTGAAGCTACAGATGTCATGCTTTGTGATACTAGCTCTTAACCAAATCAATGATAATAGAGTACCTTTATCCCCATATGGGTTCCAGGGCCCCATTGCTGGGAAAAAAGAATAGCCCAGTTCCACCTAACAAGCATGTCGTAAGAGTCGACATATTGGGAATGCTTCCTTTGAAGTCCGAGTGCAATGGCCTGACAGGCAAAGAACCAACAGTCTGCATACAAAAAAAGCAAGATCTGTAAAACTGATTTGCATCAAGACTCAGATTCTGGAACAAGACTAAAGTTTAGAAGTGGATCAACAACCAGGACTTTTACCCGAAGTATATAGCCAGTGAACAGGAAGAAGATTACCTTTTAAAGAAGCCCCTCGAGTGCAGTAGGTAGCACAAGGCCTGTTTTTATAGCAGTCCCTGTTTGAATATCCATCAAAGCAGATTTATTAAAATGACATGAGCTCCCAGACTAACTCAATCTGAAATGGCTACAGGAAACATCCTTAGAAATAAACGCAACCAGTGTGATTTTGATTGCATTTCTCACATAGCACAAACTGATCTATAAAAAATATGTGGTTAGCATATGTGAATAATATACTTTCTTCTTTTTCTGCACGTTTACTGTTGTAAACTCCACTGAAAAGTTCTGGTTGTTCATCCTCTTCTGGACTTTAGTCTTGTGTAACCTCTGGTTTGGTAGTAGGCTGAACTACTGTGTCAGTTATATTTGTCATGAACAGTTTGGAAAGCTCTGGTTTAGCCACTGCTCTACCTCGGCATCTATGGTGATGATAATGAAGAGAAATTTGACTAACAAATCTGAGCCTCTTACACTTGTCAGATATGTTACCTGAAGAAAGCTACTAATTTTCACCATCCAATTTATATTATTAGCTGGAATGTGGAAACAACACTATGTGTCAAATATATTGAGAAACAGAAGAAGACTAATGATTTTTGTTAAAAATCAGTTACATCCGTTGCCATCACAAACGCTTTATCTGAGAAAATCTTAAATCAGAGCAAGAGAGCATCTGAGAAAATATGGTCTAGTGATTAAAGAGATTGTGTGGTGACATAGAATGACAATATCCAGTGCCACTCATCAGCCACTTAGCGACCATCTATTACTCACATGACAGTTGACAGCAAGAGGGGAAGAAGATGATATAGTTAATGGTAGTGGTGGTGATGATGAACTTGATGGAGGCAATGATAATAATGGTGATTAAGATGATGATAGGTGAAGATAATGAGGGAGGTAATGAGGATGATGATGATGATAAAGAGTGTGATTATGAGAGTGGTGTTATCAAGCTAACAGTGATGGAGGTGGTGGTAATGGTGGTGATAATAACAGTGGTGGTAGTGATAAGGATAATGATGATGAAGATAAAGATGAAATAATTGAACTTTACCCTAAAGAACATGTTTTCATCACCTCATTAAAATACACGTTCAAACTAAATAAAATCACAGACAATAAATACTGAAATAAACTAAGCAAACAATTTACTTTCATCTGGACTCGACTGGTTTGAGCAATGGTTCACAACAAGATAAGAACGCAGCCTCAAACTCCTCCTCTGAAAACCGGGACAGTGATTCTCTAGCATTGAGCCTAAGCTCTAGCCTCTCCGAAGGGGACATGGCAAAGATCTGTTTCATGGTGCTGGCGTATGAGTCAACATCGGAGGCCAGGAATCCAGTTGGTTTGTCATTATGGTTGATGACGATGTCCATCTTTGGTCCACCAGAGTTGTGAGCTAGCATTACTGTGCCGGCAGCCATACCTTCAACCACACCTAGGAATAAATTATTTAAAATAAAAGAATTATACATAACACTAGACACCTGAACTTATTTCTTTCAGGTCCAAGCAGTAATTAATTTATTTTCTTTTATTACAAAAAGCTGTACAAGTTACATAAGTCAATCCTGGTTAAAGGAAATGAATTATGGCCAGTTAGCCGATTACATAAAAATTATCTGAAAGCGGCGGAGATGTGTTTTTTTAAACAAATGAGAAGAATATCATAGAAAGATGAAAAGAGTTGAAAATTTCTTGAAAGAAATTAGTTCAGAACAGATTGCCCACATCAGACGGTGACAATCTACATTTACTGGTCATGTCTTGAGAAGGAGATTACTGAAATAAATCGTGACAGTGAGAAAGTCAGAGGGGAATAGAAGCAGTGAGAGACTGAATGAAATTATTCTGGACAGTTTGACAATTTCAGAACCTGATGGGTGATTCTTTGCTAGCTTCTTCAAAGGATGTTCCCAATATAACATCAGCTTCTCTGTCTTATGTAACTGTTGACAGATACCAGAATGGAAGATCCTCTGTGTCAGAATTAACTGAAAGAACACAAGACAGAAGGCTGTGGGTAGCCATCGCTACCAATGCCAATGGGCGTGGACTTTAACCCTTTTATCCCAGTAACCTAGGAAAAACAAAGCCCAGCCCACGTACTTTTTTATATTTTTGAAAACTGAAAAGGAAATTATGGGCTTCTTAACTTGAATATAACAGGAAGGTTCTTAGAGTGCCCTAGGCCAAGAAAAGGAAATACAGTGGCATATTGCATGATGTGCACACCAAGCGGGACAGGCCAGTCTATACTGTTTATGGAACAGCACCCTGAGTGGGTATGGTGCCCTATTTTGGGTGAAACAAGAACAGACCCACTGCCTTCTCACAAGCATGTCATAAAAGCCAACTTATGAGGGTTGTTTCCTTTGAAGCTATAGTGCTTCTGCCTGACATGTGAGGAATCAACAGTCTGCACAAATAAGTCATATCAGAAAAACAAATATTTTGTAAGTTATGGAACAAGACCAAAGCCCAGAAGTGGACGAACAACCAGAATTTTATGTTGGAGTTTGCAGCTGGTGAAAGAGAAGAAGAAGAAACTTAAATGCATCATCATGTGCCATATCAAAAAGCATAAGCAGTTATGCTTCACCATCTCACAAAATCACAGATCAGACCAGTGTTCTTGTCTCAATCCTAACAATATGGTATTTATCTCTTTGCCTTACTCTTGCTCTATTTCCAACAATCTTGCCAGTTTTCACCAAGGACTTCTCATAACATATCAGAAAAACACTGACCGCCTACGTACAATTTCTCTAATTAGTTTACAGTTCTCATCTGTCTTAAGGAAGATCACCTAGTGTCTATTATTACAAAGTTTACGAAGAACAGTGATGGAGTCTTTAGTTCTTTTAGTCTTTAGTCGATTTTCCACCCTGACTGCAGATGGGTCGCCTCATAACTGCTCCGTTTCTGTGCCAGTGGAAATCGCACAAAATGTCCTTCACTGTCCCGTTTGAAAACTAGCAAAAAACATTTTAGTCTCAGCAAAATCTTGAAGCTCTCACATGCAAAGCAAATGCACAAAAAAGTTTCAGATGTGCCAACACTAACAGTTCCATACCGGGTCTGCAGCTCACTGCCGATGCAAGTGGTACATTACAAAACCTGCCATTGTACACGCAATGTAGTGTAGTTCTTTTAAGACAAGGGAAGGGCCGGTCAAGATAGTGGTGGACATAGGATATCAAGGACACGCTAGGCATAATACTTCATGGGGCACAAAAGTTGGCAAAGGATCAAGTGGCTTTCCAGAATGATGTGATGAGAGTAACATTCTTCTATAAAGCCATATTTCCACAGTAACCAAACACACCATCAGTTGTTATCAGGATACCAAAGCATTTAAACTTATCGGTCTTGTTACAACTTGTCAGTTATTTTAAGGGGCTTTACTTCTTTGTATTTGCTAATGACATCTACATTTTCTCTCTTCAAACTAAGACTTGTTTTTATTTTCTGTTTATTCTTTCAGTCCTAGGTGGGTTTAGCATCAGAGGCCTAAGAGATAGGAAACCGATATGTATAATTGACACATCTTGCATTCATTGGACAGACAGGAACGTATGATCCGGTCCTTGGGACTGCAAGAGATAATAGACAAGATACATACCTAAAGGTATTCTTCTTCTTCTTTCTCAGCGTTCACCAGTTTTAAACTCCAGCAGAAAGTTATGGTGGTTCATCCACTTCTGGACTTCAGTCTGAACCTGAATTTTGCACGTCCCTTTCTACAAATTTTGCTTATTTTTATGCAGACTATTAGTTCTTCCCCTCTGAGGCAGATACACAACAGCTTCAAAGAAAATATCCCTAATTAATCACCTTTTATGACATGCTGGGGGACAGTGCCCCCCCCCCCCCCAATCACAGACATGGTATTAAAGGTATTAAAGAATTTTGCTCACAGTAACAAAACATCATCAAGTGACATTTTACTGTACTGTAATTTCTAAATGATTTTACTTTAATTAATAAGAACATTGTAAAAATGGACAAGAAATACTTACAAATACCAAAATGTTCATTCCACATTGTATGCAAGCTAATTAATGATTCGGACAACAGCTGTTTCAGTTCAGAAAAAGAAATGTTCAAACGAAACTCCACATTGTTTTGAATGCCAAGCTCCTCCGCAAGCTTCTTTAGAGATTGTACTCTTGAATAATCATCTTCGTTTCGACAACTTCCAGCTAAAACAAGTTTGTAGTCTCTTCTCTGAGATTCATCCATGCCTGCTAGAAATTTATGAAAGGATTTTAACTGCAGCGGGTGGTCCTTCTCTGGCCGGAACTGGCTGAGAGATAAAATCTGTTTAGGTTTATTCTCGTCGCTGGTAATCTGTGTTTTTAGGAACTCTGCAACATCACAAGGTGGATAAACAATGCAGGTCCTGACCGGAACACCCCACAAACTGACGATGTGGTTGAAAGTCCATGTTGAATTGACCATAATCACGTTCGCTCTTTTTCCTGCCATGCCGTACAGATAAGCAAAAAACTTGTAATAAAAAACTTTCAGTCCGCTGAGGAATGGGCTTCTGGAGATAAACGTAGCATTGTTGTGGGATTCAACTCGTTGAGACACCCTGCTCAACATATCCGTAGAAATTGTAGGGTAATGAACATAACAGGCTACTGGACATCCACCCAGGTACTTGAAAAGTGGAAGTGTGAAAGCGTATCCCATTGTATCTATGTAAATGTCAGGCACGAAAGCAAACAGTGCTTCCAATCCCAAGAAGACGGATCCTACGCTCTGTCCCAGCAGTGTGAAGTAAGGGTATTTGACAGCTTCCACCCATGCTCGGTTCTTGAGGTAGACAAATTCGACTCTCCCAGGGATGATTATATTGAATCTCTGCCGAGCTCTGGTGATAATTTCCTCAGGTGTAGCATCTGTGTCTCCAGTGTATACCACGCACTGAATGCTGGGATACCTACAAATAAAACATGATCATGCAACATTACGTTGTTATAAAGACATACTAAAATATAATACTTCTTCTTCATTGTTTGTCCGAGTGACGTAAATACGTTATGCCTGTTTACAGCATAGGTGCGATATTTGCACCTTTCAGCCGAAACAATTGGGCATTTGTTAACTAGGTTAGCCTTCTACACAATCTGACTTTATAAGGAAAATTATTTTTATCTGTATTAGAAAGATCATCTTATCGTCATCATTATGTGCCCTGCCAGGCGGCATAGTTGCTCATGTCTATACACAGATCTTGGTTCTAGGTATTCTGAATCAATTCCCCAGATTATATTCCACTTTGAGCATCAAACATAATTTTCCTTGGTCTGCCTCTGGCTTCTACCATTAATTTTTACAGTAATCAGGATGTTCTCCAACGCCTCTTTTATCATTACATGACCAAAGAACACTGACTCTTTCCTATAGTTGCATATAGTTTTTGGATTTCAATAGCCATTTCCAAGCAGTTGTTGATAGTAGATGCTATCTGGAGAATACATCTTAGAAACTACACCTTCAGAGCCTCTCATTCATTTTTCTTAATGTGTTCACTCACAGTCCGAGATTCACAGCCATATAGCAGTACTGACTCTATGTAATATTTCTTTTTTTTTTCCTGTGTGGGTTCTGCGGTCCCATGGGGAAAATGAGGGGGGGGGGGGGATATGCCCACTGTCTTCCTAATAAGCACATTGTAAAAACGGACTAATTAAGAATGTTTTCTTCTAAGTCGGAGTGGGTATGTCTGACAGGCAAGGAACCAACAGTCTGAATACAATTAAGCCAGATCTGTAAAAAACAGATGTGCATGCAAAATTCAAGTTCTGGAACAAGACTAAAGTTCAGGAGTGGACAAACAACCAACACTTTCTGCAGGAGTTTACAGCCAATGATCACAAAGAAGAAGAAGAAGATTTGGGGGGGGGGGGGTGGGAGGGGGTGACCAAAAATGTCACCGTGTTCAACCTGCTGTGTACAGCTTGGCTATAAATGCTGTCTTTTTCTTTGTGAGTTAAAACCACACAGAATGCCCAACACTATCTTTTGTGGAAAAATGTTTATAGACTGCAGTCTCAGCAAAGGTAACTGCATACACACACACACACACATATAATTGACCACCATCAGAAGTGCCAACATAAACAGTCCACCACTAAAATGCAGTTCATCTTCGACTGAAGCAGCAGTTAAAACAGATCAAACTGTTCACATGCAATTAATCTGGCAACAGGCCACTCACCACTTTATGAATCTGCAGTTCACAACACATACCACGCTGCTGCCCACAGTTCTGGAATTGCTACTGTATTGCTGATCACTCACTTTTGCAATGATAGCACTTTGTCTTTCCACCATACAACAGCAGTTAAGTATAATACATCGACATGAAGACAACAAAATCTATTACCTTCTCTGCACAGCTCGAATAGCCACCCACAGTACACGTTCTCCACCACCTCCAGCATTACAGTACGGGTGAAAGAATGCTAAAGATGGTCTCTTCTTTCCATTTTCATCCACAAATACCTTTGACGTCCGCCTCAGCCATTTTCGCAGAACGAAGAACACAACAGTGAAAAGAGCGATAAAGATTATTCCAGAGACAATCATCAAACTGGCAATCTGAGACAGCATCCTGGAGGGTTAAAAAAAAAATGCAGATGCAACATGGATCCTTTTTCACACCAAAAAAGTATAAGGTTTATGTTATTAGAATCATTTGTTTACAAACTAAACAGCATTCGATGTGAAAAATTATGCTTTTCTTTTACTCCTGCGCTCTATCCTCCCAACAGAGCATAAGCTCTTAATTCTTTAAGGACTACTGACCACTTAAGTGGCTTTTGAATTCATCTAGTTCAGTCTATTGACCCTGTAATGGCGCTTTATAGAGATACTCTAATACTGTTTCCTTTGCTGGAAAAACGAATCTGTTTGAACATCTTTTTAAAAACTAGAATTAGCCAAATGAAGTCCTTTCATTTTTGAAGTTCAGCGTGATGTGTGCGTCACTTTCTGATTTGTTTTAGATTTATCTTGTGGGATACAATTTTGTTGTGTGATTTTTCCTGAAATGGCAGCTTTCAACCCTTCAATATTCACTGCAGTTAACTTAGTTGCGTATCCTTTACAGGACGCTGCAGAACCAACCCCAGCATTTTTTGGCTGTTGTGGTTTTTCTAGGCAAATTTATGTCCAGTAGTTTGCTTTGTCTGGACAGTCGGCTTCTTAATATCACTGCCGAAACCAACGCAAGGCCCACAGCTTGGATTGAACCCGGCATCTTGAAGCGCGTTCGTAATGCCTAAGCCACAGACGCTAACAACCACTGCAGACAGAGCTCAATGAACAACAAAAACTCAGGCTTTAGATCTCATGCACAAGTTGTTAGATGAAGAAGTTAATTCTAGTAGTAATGAAAACTTAGATTCTAAATTATCCAACAATGATGTAGATGAGGACGATGGTGAATATCAATCATCTGCTGCAAATGGTAAGGAAAACCAGAACAATAACAAAGCCCACAGAACTGCCCATACTGCTGCTGTCGATTAATCTGAGCCAGAAAGTGACAACAATAGTGTTGATATAAGCTGATGTATTTTATGTCACTATACAGCCAATATTTTTTATCAGGACGATTTTAGCTTTGTCATGTTGCTATAAAAAAAAATTTAGGCAAAGATTTTTTTCCTTTGGTAGTTCTAAAATCTACATGTCACACAACAAGAATGGTCATAGAGTGCAAAGTATTTGGAATTACTGATGCAGTAGCCAATCTCAACCTCAAACATATCCTTAGGGCCTCAGTGATAGAGGTCTCCGCTTTGAAGTGGTCAAGCCCTTTGCCTCACAACTGAAGGTCATGGATTCCTTTCATGGCTATGACATTAGGTTTACAAGTGCAAATTTTACATTTTTATGGAGGCCCGGGTGATCATTGCTGGAGATATGGTGTCTGTGCTTTGTGTGACACTTTCGGCAGCCAGCTTGCTGTTTTCCAGAGATAGACTGAGCCATATGGGATAAAACCCGGTGCAAGGAAGTCAATCCTCTCAACTTTAACCTTAGTCTCTTATTATATGTTTGGTAGGATGCAGTAATAATTCATTGCTTACTAGCAGTGTATACACACACATATACATACACACATGAGGAAGATAAAACAAGAGACATTAAATATGATAAAATGTGAGAAGAGGGACTGGATATGTCCTGACAATAGGAAAGTTGGAGAGGAAGAGCGATAGGAGGAGACTAAAACAGATGTTCAAAACATTGTCTCACTTTTAAGGGCAAAATCACATTTTAATTCCTAATCCTTTTAACTCATTGAGTCCCAAGGAACGCATCATATGTTCATAAGTTCCTACTTAGAGGCCCAATGAACACAAGATGCGCCGATTTTACGTCTCTCTTGACTACCCCTTGGGCCTTTGATGCTTACCCCCCTGGGACTCAAAGAGTTAAAAGCTGGTGAATAATTTGCCATATTTTAGCAACACCAAAAATTAACCAAGAGAGAATGAATACCCATCACCATCTCATTTTTACTGATAATACATTCAAAGACGATACATAAAATACACCCCAAACAGCGTTGCTACCACAATCTAGACCCTAGCCACGGCAACTACACTAATTAATTGGTGGTCTTGGAGACAATTTCCCGCTGCTGCTGACTACACTGATTCTCACATTTTGATTATCGCATTTGCTTGTATCAGTTAGTTAGTTCATTACTTAGTTAGTCAATAGATCAATATCATTGCACATCAAACCATTCAGCCCACAACTGCTCCGATTTCTTCTTTTATAAATCCCAGAGCCTAGTGGCTGACAACGCCTGTATTGGATTAGTTTTTCTTTGGCTTCCTGCTTAAATGAGGAATTGTTGAATTTGATATTTTGATCTCTATCTAGCTGTGGTGGTCTCATTAGTAAAACCCCAATAGATCAAATCAAAACTTCACTAGCATCTCTACTGAAACTGAAAAACAAGGAGATTTGAGATAAAATACTGAAAATACTAGAATTATCGGCTCTCCTAGCAGATTTGGACGCAAGCTGGACGGCGTCGGTTGCCTTAGTTGGAGTTCTCTCCCTTGGCCGCACTCAAAACAAGAAGCGGAAAGAGTCACGAATCAAACAAGACAGTGAGGTCGACATCAGGGCTGCCAATGCTTGGGTGTGTTCCCCATATCTGGGGGTTTTTTTTTGACGCTGCGGGGATATCTGGTTATTTTTTTTTTGTGTTTTGCCGATCTGTATGCTTTAATGACCGATAAATTTGCGTGGTTAGGGGTAGGGTTAGGGGTAGGATTAGGGTTAGGGGTTAGGGTAAGGGTTACGGTTAGGGTTAGGGTTAGGTTTGGCGTTAGATGTGACAATTTTGACGCTGTAGTTTCCTATAATCGCGCACATTCGCATACACACTCAAACAGTCGACGGACGGTGGATGCTATTGACACGGACAATTTGCCACCGATTGGGGCACCAGCCGCCCGCTATTGGTGTCATATTTGGCAGAATTTCAGTGGCGCCACTCCTACAAGCATCAGATTGTCGGCCACTATTTCGACCAAATTTTCACATCTAACCCTACCCCTACCCCTAACCCTACGCAACCCTACATGCAATACGCAGACCTACACGCAACGGTAGGATGATGATAGACACCCCACGCAACCGTATGATGACAGGTTACCCTAGACGCAACCCTACACGCACCCGGATGATGATAGGTAAGTATGTCATTTGATTCGTGACTTTTTCCGCTACTTGTTTTGAGTGCGGCCAAGGGAGAGAACTCCCACTAAAGCGACCGAAGCCGTACCGCTTGCGTCCAAATCTGCTAGGAGAGCCGAATTATCAATTATCAAGTAAGTAACCTTTTGACTTCTTTAGGAAATTCAGAAATTAAATTTTAATTATCTGACAAAATGACTGACACATTGATTTGAAATTAAATTAAAATAATTTCAATTTCATATAAATAATTTTAAACGATAATAATATGATAAATTATATTTATATTTATAATAAATCAAAAGTAAAAAGTAAATAAACTCTTCGCTTTCTCCCAGTTTTAAATTTAACTTGCACAAACAAAAATTGTAATACAGACAAGGGAACAACAATGAAATGAGTAACTCACGCTGTGTATAGTCTAAAAAAGACGGAGAGGTGCATATTTCCAGAAGCGGAGGGTATCAACTAGTCACAGACGTGACGACAGACTTGCATTTTGTTTCAATTGTTGTCGTGGCTGATCAAATAACGCCTCTCCAGTCTTGGAGTATATATAAAACCCGTAGTTTTTGTACTTCCCATATAGGAGATCTGAGGTCCATTCCTATGTATAAAGAAAAGAATGTAAAACCGAACGGGAAGTATATTAGCAAGCTTCACAATATAACAATACAAACAAAACGTGAACGTTGCTTCTGTGGAGCCTTCATCAGCACATACAAATCAAACAGTCTTCTTCTTCTTCTCTTCCATCTTGTACTTCATCGAAGTTTTGGGGGTGGGGGTGGGGGAGAGATTGATTAATGTTTGTCGATGAGCTCTGTCAAGAGCACTATTAAGACTGATGATCATTTCTGTAAGGCTGTTCTTAATGCCATCACTCCGTATTTTCCAAGGTCTTCCACTCGCTCTATACGTTGTAACGTTTTAGTGTGGCTCGCTGTGGCAGATAGTACCAGGGCATTCTTGTTAGGTGTCCAAACCACTTCATCTGTTGTTATTTGATGACCTGTAAGACTGGCTTTATTCCTAGCATTCGTCTGATATGATTTCGTATTCTGTGTTTCCTTTAAACTCCTGCATCTCTTCTAAGGCATTTCATCTCTGTTGTCACAATTTTACGTTCATTGGAGGATGTAAGTGTCCACGTTTGGCATTGATAGCATAGTGTTGGCAAAAAAATAGTTCTGATAAGATTCACTTTAGTACTCCGCGGTATCTGCTTGTGTGTCAACAAACAATACTACACAAAATCACTTAGCTAGTATCTCGAAGCAGCCGGGTCGACTGATTCTCTTCAGAATTCTTATGTAAAACCACGGCCGACTGTATTTATCTTCTCGCAGAAGTCTTGGGAGAACCTATGTTGCTATATACATACGAGACATGGACAATAAGAAGTCAAGCTGATAGTTTTTAAGAAGAACGCGAAAAAAATAATGACACGATCGAAAAAAAAAATGAGTCCTCTTCAAGACAGACGTCGTAAACTAGTTTGAATAGTTAGATGTAGACAGTCTGTGAGAAGGAATAAACTTGAGAACTTTATTACAACAGGCAAGATTGGCGGAAAGAGAGCCAAGGGAAGACAGAGAGATAATGGATGGGCGAGGAAGGAACACAGACATGCTTCGTGATTTTGGTGATTGTGTGAGAAGACCAACCGTGAGAGCTTACGCTTACTTACACGACACATGATGATGATGAGATCTGAGAAATTTATAATTAGATACCAATGGAATAACCAGTGCCTCAATATAGCTATAATATACGGATGAACGGGGATTCTAGGGGTTTGTTCCTACTCGATATCATCTGAACAGTGGTCCCGAGAGCTGACCGTGCAGTCGCTATCGCAAACTACTGAACATAAAATTTGCCTAGAAAAACCATAACAGCCAAAAATTTACCGGTTGTTCTGGGACGTCTTTTAAGGGATAGGAAAAGACATAAAATCGAACGAAAGGTATATCTTATATCAGTATATTTATGTATACAGTAAGTATATACATATGTGTGTATGAGAGTGTGTGTGTGTGTATAAACTGTGCGCAACTAACTTAATACAGCTACTTCCTAATCTGTATTAAACTGCGGATTGCACCGAGAAGAAGGAGGGTGAGGGCTTAGAGTTGAGAACCTTTCTGAGAACCAGTCCCATACACATTTCGTGATTATAACAAACTCGCAAAGCCTGTGGATCTGGCCCAAGGGAGCCACATTGCAAGAGAAGCTATGGAAGACCGGTGGCGACCTTTAACGCACAATCCTCTTTGTGACCCAGACGGGACTCAATATTTAGCATGACTGATGAAGAACGCAGAAGAAGAAGATGCTGAGACAGGTAGAGAAAAACATGCTCCGTGCAGAATGGTAAGCATTGATTCATGAGCCTCAGACAGTTAGCGTGCTTTTTGGAAATGTCATGCAGGGCCTGCTGGGAAACGAACATGCTCACCAACTGGCTGGCGTTGCACTACTGGGTAATAAGCTGTTGCATGACAGGCTGGATGTGGTCAAGGCACTTGGACAGCAAGTGAACTATGCGGAAGCGGGAAAGGTATTTACTGTGAGGGTAGAAAGATACAGCGTTGAGTGGTCACGGGATAGGGCTGACACTTTACAATCAGAAGAAAAGCAAGACGGGCATTTAATCAGACTGCTGCTACTAGTATCGTCGGCATTGGAACTCTTCGCTAGCTGCTAAACATGAGAACGAAGTGCTAATGGGAGTGTCCCGAGTGCTGTAATATCGGTTCTTAGCTTATAAGGACTCTTTACTTAGCCATGCACTGCTTTATTACGGTCGGATAAGTGTCATTATGCTTTATTAAAAACTCCAGTTTCACTGCCCTGTCAAACGTTCCCATGTGTCCTTTTTAGTTCCTGTTAATAAACAGTTTGGTGGAAACGACCGGCTGTGTTTGTTCGTTTTCCCTCCGTCGGGCGTCCTAGTTCTAGTTGTACTATGTTATTTTAGTTAATACATTTTTTTTCAACTTTTAAGATTTGCATTATTTTCAAACTATTGACGTCAAGTTGCATCACTCTGCCTTACCCCGGTTAACTCCCGTTATATTTAGACATTTGACATGCTGCTATTAATACACCAATGCTGTCTTTATCTTATACAGATATTCGCTATTTCATAACTGTTGCACATGGCTGCGGGGAATATAAAAGAACTTTCTTTCTCTGAAAACAGAACACTCATAACACAGGGCCATACATAGTTTAGAAAAGCTCGGTGTGTTATTTGTATTATTTCCTAGTTTGGAGGATACAGAATTATGTGCATTTTAACAGAACAATTGACAGCATTTATTGAAGGCATGACATGACACTAAGTTTGTAGTTCAGAAAATATATAGCAAGGAAGAAGAAATCGACCTTTATGTGCGTGTTACTTTGCAGTATAAGTAATTTAGTTACTAATAGGAGAAAACAGACTTGTGAGCTTTAAAAAAGATTGGTTGAAGACTAAAGGTGCTTCAGATTAAAAGGAATTTACAAGAGCCTGTGCCACTTATCGAGAGCTTGGCCATCAATGTCCTTTTTTTTTCTTGATCGCCACGGCCCTTGGCAGCAACAGGGGAAGACAATGAGGATGATTTGTAGGCATTGATTCCTATTCGTAAAGCCTTCATGCTTATTGAGCATACAGAGCTGGACCTAAATTGTATAGATCAATCGGCACTTGGCGGGTGATGTGGTCAGCATTACATTGCCTAGTCATAAAAGATAAAACATAATTCTGTAGGCATCAGTCAATACTCTAAGTAGCGGGGATAACTGAAAGCAGTTTTCACGCCGCATTCAAGTCTGCCTGGTCATCGTCGCTACACAGAACATCTACATTTCAAACATAGGTGTACGTAAAAGGGTGTCCAAGAGGAAAGTACTGATTTCGTTGTGCCAAGTGTTATCTCCGTCTGCATCGGTCTTCGTCCGCAAAGCGGTTAGTCGACTGCCAAAGACCTCGCAAAAATCCCGAACTCCGTAGTTACAAGGACTATCCACATAAGCTCCGAAGAAATAGCATTGAAAGCAACTAGCAAACTAATCCGCGGCTTTTAGGGCTGCAGGCAAAACATCTGATTACTTCGCCACGAAGACAAACGTGAACTGTGGCGATCGAACAGATAAAACAGAAATAACATTTAACAACAGACGCTACAGTGGTTTTGATGTTTCGATTAGTTACTTGTACACGACAGTCGGTTTTAGAGTTTTAACTAACTTACTATAAACTGTTTAGATGGACATGTTATAAAGTGTTAAAATAAATTTGTTACAAAAGTGAAAGTTCAACCATTTGTCTATAGTACTGAACATTTGTACCCATGTGTGCATTTTTTTAACGACACCTAGTTTGTTTACTCTATATCAATACCGTTAAAAAGTGTACGGTGTAGAGGGTAATTGTGTGACATCGTAAACTTTAACAACTGTCCTGCACCTACAAACACTATGGCTGATTGCAGTCGTGCCTATATGAAAGAGTTGTATAAACTGACGCGCACTGTCGACAAGCTCACGTGCGGCCAGGCTAGAATCGATCTCGACTGTGAGAAAGAGCGGTCTTTCTACCTGCTAATAACTCCGGACGATGGCTATTTCAAAGGTGCCACATGCAAATTTCAGGTATGTAGCTCAGTGTGTAACAGTTAAACAAAGGTTGTTGGTAGGATCGGCAGAAATTTCTGGTTGTTCGTCCACGGCTAGACTTTAGTCTTGGTCCAGAACTTGAATTTTGCGTGCACATGCGTTTTTACATGTCTTGCTTATTTATATGCAGACAATTAGTTCCTGGTCTATCAGTCAAGCAGATGCACTCTTGACCTTGAAGGAAGCACCCCTAACAAGTTGACTTTTATGACATGCTTGTTTGGGCAGGGGGCATTGAGTCTATTCTTTTCAGCTTCCACACGGGACCCTGGAACCCACACGGGAAGCTTATAAAATATGAGTCTTGCATACAGTGCCACTAGCGGTAAAAGACCCAAGAAAGAAAGAAAGAACAAGTCGGATCGCTTGTCGAAGCACTGGTCCTGATTCCATCAATCAAATGTGGCCGGAATTTTTCCGACCAGTGAGATTCTGGGGTGAACACCGTCTGATGAACATTTGTGCCCTATAATTTCATAGGAATTGTCAGGGAAACAAATGGAAACTGGCTACCACATATGTCGTTGGCTAGGATTTGTTAACGGCTTCATACACCTACTGGATTATCTGTTGCAGGACTCATGATCGTGTAACAGGTTCTTTGTAGAACATCGATCTCATCATAGTCTACAAGAAGGAAACTTGGTCTCTCGCGATCTTTCCCATCTCGAGCACTTTTCTACACAAGGCGCCTCTTATATTCTGTGCCCATGTTCGTGCTGGTCGGCTCTTCCCCCTCTTTCCTGGCCTGTTGCTATTATTCTTTCCGTTTCGCCAGGCGCAAGATGCCATAGAACCATTTTGAGCTTTTTGTAAACCCTTTTCTCTATTTCTTGCAGCGCAGGTCGAGTGCCTATTGGTCGTTATTTCTTGGGAAGGGGAGCTCAGACCCTTTAGAATTTTCTAGAAAGGGTAGCCTCAAAGTGCTTAACCTTATTTGGGTAGGCAATAATACGAATTATTACGAGGATGGGGGCAGCAGTGGCTGCTAGGTCAGGTCCTGAGCTAGACTTTTTCCTTCTTAAAAAATGTCTTTGACTCTCAGGTCGACCCAACCTTAAAAATTGAACCAGGTAATGTCCTGGTAAGTTAGGGAAACCTGCGTGATGTTCACCATATCATAAACTACACAACTCGGGCAACTACTCTCATTTCTGCAGTCCAGCACTTCATCACTCATGAATACAGAGAGCACAGCACTGTTATAATCAGCGAATCACTGTCTGTTCTCCAAGCACTATCAAGCTAAAACAAGATGAACTAATTCCAACAAAATCCACTGATGTCTTATCTTATTTCAGGTAACTATACCAGAGGCATTTCCTACAGAAGCACCTCAGGTGCATTGTCTTAACAGGATCTACCATCCCAACATTGACATCGACAGCTGCAAGTCCGAGGTCTGTGTCAATCTTCTAGGTGAAGACTGGCAACCTGGGGTTGGCCTTGATGGTTGTGTCATGGCCGTCCTGTACATCTTCCATCATCCAAACTTCGAAGACGCCCTCAATCAGCTGTTTGACGATGATCCTATGAACGAACTTGAGTTTATTAAGAATGTAGCAGTCTCACTTCGTGGTGGAGAGGTGGATGGGTTCACATTTGATCAACTTCTTGATGATGGCAATTTGGCAAAGAACAACTGGGGTGATGAAAAAAGCAGCAACAACCAAGATAAAATATGCAAGGATACTAACATGAAAATGAAAGAAGTAGGAATAATCGAAAACAGAAATGGCAACGAATATGGCAATTCTTTCTTTGGGGACCATGCTGAAAGAGCAGAAGAACACATCACCAATGGTAATAAAGCATGCAAGGATTTTACAGAAGCAGGAACAATCGAAAACAGATACAAGGAAAACATCGTGAATGATAATTGTTTTTGTATGGGCCAGGTTGGCCAGGCCACAAATGTCAGCAACCAAGATAAAACATGCAAGGAAACTTACACGAACAGAAATGACAATGAGGATGTCACATTCAATGGCGTCTTTTTCGGTATAGATAATGAGTTTGAAAATGTAAACATAAAGCCAAATTCAACAGCCACTGAGTTCAACACTGATTTCTATATTAACAGACATGAACAAGATACAAATACAACCAAATCAACAATTGTAAACGAAAACACCAGGTATTCCAGTGTGTGCATTATGTCTAGTTTTGCGCTTACCATGGCTGGATTGAATTCACACATATGGCACAAAGTATTAACTATTATTCAGCGATTTTACACTCATTAACTGAGATACAACTGCTTCAGGGTTAAAAAAGATCTGCCCTTGTGGTTTGTTGGTGAAGGATCGGTTCAACGCCACAGATTACACAAGGGGAATATCAGCAACAGTGCAACAATTCTGTAGCAGGGGTGAGATCCCAATACATGTTATTGGAACTCTTATTCTTCTTCGTGATCACTGGCTGTAAACTCCAGCTGAAAGTTCTGGTTGTTCATCCACTTATATTCTATAGTCCAATTAGCAATCATGGATGACGTGGTCGGCCAGCTTTACTTCCTGGGACTTTACCTGGTACCCGTTTGAGGCTAAGTCGACCAGTGCTGCTTGGATTTGAACCATGACCATCTGATCCAGAGGCTAGTGTCTAGACGCTCCAATAAGGTATAATTATTATATATGTGTAGGTCTTCTTAAGTCGTTTTACCTGAATAGCTGTCTTTGATCTGCTGTTTTCAATTCAACTGCTACAGGATTTGTACGTGTGCAGGGTACACAGTCATCTAAAATTTGTGTGTTCGGCATTATCTGTTAAGGCAAGGCATGTATCCACTATCCAGAATCAGGAGGTATCTTCAGGTTTCTTCTTTTCTAAAATGCTTTGCCACCCATAAGGTGAATTGTTCAAGTTCTGCTGCGTATGATGTGCACTTGAAAGCCGAACATTTCAGACTCTAATATACTGGCTAATTAATAACTGTGTATATATGTATATTTAATAGTTTATATCACCAGATTAAAAAGAGCTCTGAAAACATATAACTCAAGGAAGAAGCATGGCTGATCTAGGCTGAATCCCTACCAGTTTGTAGGTAAAGAAGTATTAAATACAACTCAGACTGTGACTAGAAAGATCAAAGGAGGCGCAGAAAACAGTTAAAAAATATAACTAAATGTTTCAATCAAAAACTCTTGACTAGAAAACTCAACTGACAAGACAAATATTTATGTTTGTTTATATTTATTCAACGAATCAACAACATGGTACACGGGTGTAACCTATAAGTGCTCCGTTCCTCTTCTAACTCAAGCCTGAGTCTAAAGAATCTCAGCGCAGTGCACAAACTCAGTAGCACCAGCAAAGATCCCGAAATACTTTGGGTAGATTTTTAACTACAAATTTTGCCTGGGCAGTGCCGCTAGGCTACTCTTTTCGATTTCCAACCGCCAAGGGATGTTTGACGTGCGCAACGATACACACTGGCGTCCGGTCTTTCTGCCCACAGACCAGGGGAAATTACTAGAAATCCACATGAAAAATCCCAGCCTTCACCAGGGCTTGAACCCGGGACCTCTAGCACTCGAGGCAGACACCATGCCTTGAGACACACAGCCCCACAAGACAAATATAACAAACCAACTTATAAACAGCCAAGATCAGCAGGAAAGCAGAATTACGTTAACAAAAATTTAAATTAAAAAACTATTTTTTAAAAACTTGTTTATGATTTTAATCAAGGAAAGTTAATTAAATGAAATACTTTCATCCAATTTTTAAAATATAATCTTGAAAAAAAAAATAAAGTAGTGATGAATACTGTTTTGTGTTGTGCAGAATAATGTCCTGGTTACATACGCTTGTTCAAAGATGTCACAATTGAGTCCAAGTTTTGTACACCCCTTATCACTTTCTAGGTCAACAGACGGTCAAGAATGCTCAACAACGATCTCCTCCAAGTGTTTACTGATATCTCCTTATGTCCTACAATTCAGTATTTTCATTTCTCTACCAAATCTCAAATGTTACTTTACTCTTATCTTTTATGTGGGGTTATTGATCAAAATCGTTAGACACAATACATGTTCAAGTTTTCTGGGTGCTTTATTAATATCCTACCCCAAAGAGGGGAAATCCACAGGTCACCGGACAGTCTAATATTTCAGGGGGTGGTAGATAGGCTGCATGCAGTCGTGGGAACTAGGCTGCATTCTCTCGTGAGATGTAGGGTTGGGGTTAGGGCCAGTTCTAGATGTTTTGGGGTCGTTAAAAGCATCAAAAAGCCGGGAAACCCAGTCTTACCACCCTCTAAAATGTTGGACTGTCTTGTGACGTCATCTGGAGTAGGATGTTAACAAAGCACCGTTTTCTCAGTGCTCAGTTTTTAAAGATGGCTAGGACATTCATGAAGGATTGTAGAGTCCCTAAGGACATCCTCTATGGTGAGTTACCGATGAGTAGAAGATTTCGAGCTCGGCCTTTAACAATATAAAGACGTGTGCAAAATGGGACATGAACGATACAGACAGAAGTGGATTCATGGGTGGGAACAGGATGTGATGGACGGTGTTGCGTGGAGGAAGAAAATCAGGAGAGGAAAAGGAGTAAAGGAGAAAACTGGTGCTGATGGGTTCGGAGCTGGGTGTAAGAAGAAGCACGTTAGATTCATGCGATGGCAAGAATGAGCCTGAAATCTTATGATCTAACTGTAGAAGATTTATCTTAACACAAATGGGTCTTGCTTACAGTGGCGTAGGAAAGGGAGAAAGGGGGGAGGGCCGTCCCAGGTGTCATCACTGTAGCGGAAAGGTCTGGTTGTTTCTCCACCTCTGGACTTTAGTGTTGTTCCAGAACCTTGAGTGTTGCATGCTCATCATATTACAGCTCTGGGGGTCATTCTAGTATCATAAAAAAATGGGTAATAGGCCATTTTATGGAAAGTGTGTGGGAAGGGAAGGCAATGGGACTGGTCACCCCAGTGACGAGTGCATCATGCCAGGACACATCACAAGAGGTCACTGCTGACACATCTGACCGATCACTAGACCTGTATGGCTTGCAGTGTAACCAAGGTGTCAGAAAATTCTTTATTTCAGTCCTTACACGGTCCAGTAATCGTTTAACTGTATGTAATACACTATATTGAACAAGCAAAATGTATTTCAAAACTTAAACAGAGATGACAATCAAATGCACCTAGCTTACACTGTCACTATTACTCATTCTGCCTTCCATGTTCAGAAGCATGACACTAGCAGACTTACAAAACACTTATGCAACCTACGTCCTGAGTGGCTGCTGATGGCAACTCTGCCAGACCAAGCAGTTCCACCTTTCGTGGTGGAACACTGACCATCTTCTGATGTCTCTCTTAAAGAACCTGTTACCTGAGGAACTTCAGACAGATGCCCAACAATTTGTGGAAGATCCAGACTCCTGTCTGCTGCATAGTGGAACAAACTCCAGGTATCACCTGTTGCCTTCATCACCACTGGTCGGCTCAGTTCTGATGGCAACCTTCTCAGAACATGAAGACACTTGCCTCCGTTGAAACGGTGTGATATACAGATGCAAACAGTGCTAGCCTGGCAATAAGTCTAGCACCGACACCACCACCATCGCCGGAAATTCTAGATATTGCCCTGCAGTGACGATCACTTCCAGACTGACAGATCTGCTCCTTTGGACTCTCGATTATGTGAAGCGATTCAATTATAATCGTCAACCTACACGTTCATTATGTCCACGTGAGTCCCTTCATGTGAGGCAGGAAGATCCTAGTTTACATTCACTAATTTCAGCCTTGTTTAAACAAGCGCATCAGATTTCGCACAAGATCCTGCCAGACAGTGAACTCTGAACCTCTTGCTCGGTCAGTTATCGCACCTAATATCCTCATTTTTCTGTCTGGAGAAGAAGAGGTTGTAGACTCTAAGAGTTTTTGAAAATGTTGGCAAAGCTCTTTCATGGTCAGGTGCTCTTCACATCTGAGGACAAATGACAAACAAATGTTTACAAGTACCAGGATTACACAAAGAAAATAATGAATGAATGAATGAATCAATCAATCAATCAATGAAATGACGTCACTGCACATAGGACACTCCCATATATGCTCCATCCGCTTCCTCAGAAGCCAACAAAGAGTTTTCACATTGATAATGCTAGCTGCAATCTGATTATACAGTTGCCTGTGTTTTTTTCCCCCTGCAAGTAGAAAATTGTCCATACCTTCTGCTCACTCCCGGCTGATTCATTCTCTCCAGATATGGATGCTCTGTTTGTTCAGCTTACTCCTGGCTGATTCATTCTCTCCAGATATGAATGCTCTGTCTGTTCTGCGCACTCCTGGCTTATTCATTCTCTCCAGATATAGATGCTCTGTTTGTTCAGCTTACTCCTGGCTGATTCATTCTCTCCAGGTATGAATGCTCTGTCTGTTCTGCGCACTCCTGGCTGATTCATTCTCTCCAGATATGGATGCTCTGTTTGTTCAGCTTACTCCTGGCTGATTCATTCTCTCCAGGTATGAATGCTCTGTCTGTTCTGCGCACTCCCGGCTGATTCATTCTCTCCAGATATAGATGCTCTGTTTGTTCAGCTTACTCCTGGCTGATTCATTCTCTCCAGGTATGAATGCTCTGTTTGTTCAGCTAACTCCTGGCTGACTCATTCTCTCCAAGTATGGATGCTCTGTTTGTTCAGCTGCAGTTTACTTGATCCAAGAGAGAGACTTCACCACATTCACTTTATCATAAAGTAGCTCACCATCAAGAGGGGTGTTAGCAGCTAATCTATCAGCCTGCTCATTCCGCGCACACCCGGATATCCTGGGCATAAAATCTATGATATACTTCTTATCTGAGTCTTACGCCCGGCTCTCTAGGGTAGTTGGCTAAACCGGATTGCGTGGTGAGCGGGTGACGAACTCCTTGTGGTCCGGGTTCACTCCCGGGGGTAGGCAGAAAAGCCACATTTCTCCCAGATTTACGGAATTTACAAGGGAATCAAGGCCGAAAGGTTGCGATATCCATAATACCGAGCCTAAGGGTTAACAACTCATGGCTTCTGGATACTAAAACAAACAATCAAACAATATGAGTCTTACCAAGTGATGTAATCCACTTTGAGCGCAAGACACAATTTATACTATCAGAAGCACATTTTGCAAGTCAGTTATAATTACAACATGTCAGCCTGAACTCTCTTACCACTGAAAAGCTGCCATGACTGCCTCCATCTTCATTCTCATGCTAGGCACTGTGACACTATACATGAGGCTTTCTTTATTTAAACAACTTCCATTTTCATTTGCAGTGAAACGCCACCGACCCTCTACTGCTCACTATAGATCCATCTGTGTAAATAATTATACAGTTCTTGTGATGATGCTTCTTTTTTGCCAGCTGTCAATTACTGAAAATCTCAGCTCAAAGTAATTAAAACTTTATGCCTGGCTGCTTTGTTGGGCAGCCCTGTATCCATTCCTTACGATGTACTACCCTGTCAATTGCACACATTTCTAAGTCAATTCTCCCTGTGTTACTCCAGAAAAGCCACCTCTCTCTTCAGCCTGTGCCCCTTAGCACCACCTTGCGCCTCATGCAGAAGGTGTTCCCATCCTCTGCAACTTTATGATACATCACTGCCTGTAGCATCCTGTATCTTTTATGTACGAATGGCAAGGGAAGTATGTACCACGAGCCTACAACTGGTTGTGTCCCTTGTACAGCCCAGACTGACTTCATTTTTTATAAGTTCCAGCATCCCCAGTTGGCTGTGAGATGTCAGCAGTCCCAGACCATACGAAAAGACCCTTCATATTGAGCACATAGTGCTAGACTTATATTTTATAGACCAATCGGTGGGTGATGTGGTCAACATTATGCCAGACACCTTAAATTCCAGGAACTCACCTGGTAGCCACTTAAGGCTGGGTCGACCTGGGACCCAAGATTATTTTGGGGAAAAAAAGTCTAGTTCCGTTCAGACTTGAACCCATGACCTTCGGATCTGCAGGAGAGTGTCTAGCCACTACATCATGGTGGTTGTCACACTTTTCTAAATGATACAGTGCTCATCAGTATCTGACTCTGAACCCCAGGTTGTTAGGATTATGAAACTAGGTTCACAGCCCTTAACACTTTCCTGACCAGGAATCCTAGGCATTACTGTCTCCTATTACCAAGGACGTTTGTCAAAATGACTTCTTTTCTTCTAATAAAATTCATTAAAAAATCAAAAATGAACATAGGGCTTTAAAACCTTCAGAGCACCATTATAAATGGTTGCTACATATGAAAAAAGATACACCATCATGGCGGCCATCTTAAAATTTTGTTTGGCTTTTTATAGAAATTTCATGAGATGTTATAAAATCATCATCTTCTTCCAGTTCTTAGTGAATTTGTTCAATGTCAGTGTAAAAATTTTTTTAAGAAACATGGTTGGCGATGAATAAAATTAGCTAAATAACAGCAATTTTTAACGATTGACCAAACAGTTCAACATTAAAAGAGAATAAAAATGTGAATAAAGTGAAAACAAAAATTGTTTATTTTGTTCATATGTCATGTTACAATGAGCATTTGTGAATGCTTGATTATAAAAGCACCTCTAGTTGAAATCAGAGCTACTTCCCTTATTAACTGGATTTGAAGCTGTAGAAGATCTTAGTAAGATCAACGAATTACTCTTTGCAGATGACCAGGCCTTGATACAGCCATGAAATTGCAACAACATCTAACATCCATGAATGAAGAATGTAAAACAAATAATATGAGAATCAACACTGAAAAGACAGAAGTAATGTCAATAGGAAAAAAGAAGACAGATCTAATCATAGCAATAGAATACAAAGGCATTAAACAGGCATCTGAGTTTAAATATCTGGGAACTACATTTACCGAAGATGGGAAATTGGATAAAGAAATTGACATTAGATGCAGTAAAGCAAACCAAGTATTGGGACAGCTAGCCCCCCTCTTACAGCATAAGACAATCCCAATCAGCACAAAGAGACATCTTATTCAAAGCATATTTATTCCAACTCTGTGCTACCAGTGCCAGACATGGTCACTCACAACAAACCATAAAAGAAAATTAGTAACCACGGAAATGAGATGTCTGAGAAGGGCTGTAGGAGTGACCATAAGAGATAAGATCAGGAATGAGATCATAAGAGAACAAGTCGGCACAGAACCAATTCTGGATTACATACAAAGACAGCAAGTGAAATGGTTTGCCCACTTAGAGAGAATGCCTTGTGACACCATACCATACAAAGCATACATGGAAAGAGAAGGACGTAGAGCACGGGGTAGACCAAGAACAAGATGGAAGGATAACATCAGAGAAACTCTACAACAGCACGATATGCCTATGGTCGAGGCAGCCAGAAGAGCTAGAAACAGAACCTTATATCTCCCTCGACACCCACAGCGGTAAAAGAGGAAGTGAAGAAGAAGAAGAAGAAGCTGTAGCAGTAGCCCTCTGTCTTTGTAAGGAATGGCGATAATCCTCAACTGTATGATACAGCTTGAAACAGGGTGCCAAGCATAGGGGTGTATTGCAATCTGGGCAGTACATGCAGGTCTAGCTTCTTTTACCTGCAGCCTTACACATTTTACAGTCTGGTTAATACATTGGCTTTCACATTAAAAAAAAAAACATGGGGCTCAGTAAGTCATGATGCTGTGTGTGATCTTGAAGATGTAACATTGTGCCAAAGAACAGCAGGTCCAGTAAGAGCAAGACTGACATCCTGCCTGAACCTCTTTGCTGTGATCTTATACAGAGTGGGCAGTGTTGTAGCTTACATGCTCACTGACCAGAGCAGTATCGACTATAAATAAATAAATAAAAAACAGCAGGTACTATTTATAGGATCTAGGCGGGTAGGGTTAGTTTGCATCTAGCTGGCCGAAGTGATCGACACCCCCGACACTGTTGAATTTTTCTGTAAGAACTGGCTTCCCACACAAGAATTCTACATTTCCTGCTGTCTTGTCTATAACATCATTGGAATAAACAATAGATATTAGGTAAACAACATGCCTTTATCCTTTGTCACATAAAACAGGATGATTTCAAAAAATCAATCGGTGCACACCCAACTGTGTCTGCCATGGCACTTGTTGTTCTTTGTATGGAGGAAGATTGTCAAGCTGTAGAAATGTTCTGGTCTATTGTGCTACACCTATTTCTATCTTCAGAGGCACCTACATCAACCTCCGTCATCAAGTCTATCATCGCTACTTTCAGTTGCAATATTACGATAACATTCACAGGTGAATCTCTACTTGTCCAGGAAATATTGTTTTCAGCTCCATATTCCCTGGCAGATTCCGAATAATCAATACTGCTGGTCTGGTTTTCATCATCAGACATGACAAAAAAGGCTGAATATGCGCTGGTAAAGAAAATTAACTAAATTTAACTTAAAACAACGCTTAATCTGCTCAAAGCGGTATCCATCGTAGGCGCACCCATTTTTGAAGAAAAAAAACACTCGGATGCAGCTAAATTAAAAAGCTATCGGTAGGGACGTCTGTCGGCAGACTACATGTCATGAATTCGCAGATCAGTGAGTTTGGTCACCAGGAAATATGACCGGAAATTTGCAGATCGGCAAAGTTGGTCAGTAAAGTGTTAAGCCACTGACACCTGAAAGCTTACCTCCATGAAAGAAAACCGTGCTGAATGTAAGGCAGGTAGGAATCTCCCAGGACCAAGAGAGCATCTAAGTAGGTCAGAAAGAACTGCTCACTCACACAGGATGCCTTGGTTAGTGTAGCCACCGGAACAGTCCAGAACTTGCTGCAATCAGGACATTCAAAAAGCCATTTATTCCATGGAATAAGAAATTACCTTGAAAGAAAACAGATTTACCAGCAGTAAGTAACAGGAAAGTTGCAGTGTGAGTCAGTTTCTTATTCTCTTCTTCTTCTGAGCGTTCACTGGCTGTAAACTCCGGCGGAAAGTTCTCGTTGTTCATCCTCCTCTAGGCTTATTCTTGTTCCAGAACCTGAGTGTAGCATGCATATCCGGTTTACAGATCTGACTCAACTGTATGCAGATTGTTGGTTCCTTGCCTCTCATGCAAAGGCACTCTGGCATCGAAGGCAGCCCCCAATTAGTCGACTCTTACAACATACTTGTTGGGGAGACAGTGTGTATTCTGGTTTTCCCCATAATGGGGCCCAGAATCAACAGGGAGATAAAGTTCAGTATCACATTTTCCTCTGTGTCTGACCTTAGAAGGTGGCTGGCACATTGTGTTGTGCAGCTAGGCTGACAATCTTGTAGTTTTTGACCCAATATATCTGATTTCAGTAAACCTGTAATTAGTCACTTTTCCCGACGCACATGTAAATCAGCAGTGGGTCTGTTCTCCATCAGAATGGCCCCCCCCCCCCCCCCCCACAAACCCACACAGAAAGGATCAGCATGACAGAATTCTTCATCATTTCCTCCTCCAGTTACCTCTCAGTTGGGCTCTAAACTCCGGTGGAAAGTTTTGACCATTCATCTAACTCTGGACTTTGGTCGTGTTCCAGAATTTGAATTTTGGGTGCTCACTCGTTTTATAAATCCAACATATTTGTAAGTAGCTTTGATTCCTCACCTCTCAGTCAGATGCACTGCAACTTTAGGGGAAACACCCCTAATTAGCTGCCGTTTATGACATGTCTGTTAGGGGGGCAGTGGGTCCATTCCTTTTTTCCCCCCAAAATGGGGCCCCCCCACTGGCATCTTTTCAGACAATGGTCTTATGCTACTGGGAAGCATGGACATCACAGCCTATGGTGATGGCAAGTTTGACTAGCAAGACCTACTGAAATTAGACAAATCTCCCACAATTACAGCATGGGAATTTCAGGGCCACAGATTGTATCTAATGTGCTTCTTCTCAGACACTATCTCCAATCATTTTCTACTTTCTTATTATTCCTTATGATCTCCCCAGCACCCAATGCTGCAACATGGTCTACAGCATACTGTTCCCAGGAATCAACCTTAATACATGTATCATTCATGTCCCACTTGCAAACTTATCTTTGTATCACAGTAGAGGCTGCCCTCAACATCTTCCATCCATTTTTAATTCACCACAAAGGATGCCTTAAGGGAGCCTTTGAAGACTGAGCCCTGAGAAAAACTGTTCCGATACCTGCTCTTTCCAGACAATGCACAGGCAAGATAATGAAAGATTTCTTCCTTTTTGAAAAAAAAAGTTAGAAATATCAAGAGACACAGCTCCTTATTAAATGCTGGCCTAGGAGGGAAAAATAAGTGGAAGCATGCATGGAGAAAACATTATGGGAGGAAAAACATCCTGAGATGGATGGGAAGAAGCCTCTATTAGTGCATTTCAGGTGATGATGCTGAATTCTTTAATAAATAACATACCTTGTACTGATATCCCCCTCCATTCCTTCTTTCACCCTAGTAAGGAAGGCTTTCAGGATCTTGTCTTGATGGTGTGTGCCCTCCTCAGGAAACTCACTGACCTCCTTTGTGAATAAGTGCACTAGGATATTCTGGTGAAAACACAAACTGTTTAGAACAGAGCTTTCCAAACTGTGTATCATGACACACTGGCGTGTAGAGATAGGGGCAAAGAGAACACAAATAAGACTACGTCATGTTCCACAAAACTATCCGGGAAAATAACCCAGTCAAAAAATACTCAATGAAGTCAAATGCTGAAAGGTGAAAATATAGAGCTTTGCTGTAAACAGGCCCACTGCTATTATGTTACTCGTAAGAACTAACAAAAAGAAGAAGAAACACTATGGTAAATTAAATGACATGTACTTTTCAACAGACAGCTGGCTTTGTGTGAAGGTGTGCTGTATGAACATAATTTATGCATTTGTTTGTCTAGCGTAACCTCTAGTTTGCCAGTAGGCTTAATTACTATGTTGTGAAAATATTTGTCTAAAAAAGTCACCAATATAAAAAGTTTGATAAGCTCTAGTTTGCAGCATTATGACAGTTATACTTCCTCTTCGACCCTTTATTACCCATTAGAGCATAGACCATTAACTCTTTGAGTTCCAGGGGTTTAGCATCAGAGGCCCGAGGGGTAGTCAAAAGAGATGTAAAATCGGTGCACCTTGCGTTTACTGGACCTCTAGGTAGGAACCTATGAATGTATGATGTGTTCCATGGGACTCAAAGAGTTAATTAATCTGCTGCAATTTCCATAAGGAAGGTTGGTTGCAGTGCACCAATGTTGTCTCTGGGAATATTATATGGTCAGGACCTAACCGTTTCCACTCGATAACGTAACGTAGCATAACCCTTGACCCGTTAGGGTCGTGGAAGTGTATCAATGGAAGCACACACAAAAACCTGCCATCTTTCTCTGTCTTCCACTCGCTGAACAAGTGTATAGTAATTTAGTCCTGTCCATTTCTTGACGTTGTCATTCCAGGTTCTTTGCCCCCCTCTTCTTCGACTACCCCCACCCCCTTTTTTTTTTTTCAATGTTCCTGGAAGTATATATAGTCTTTGCAATCGAATCATGTCTCACCAAGTGTCCGAACTAAGCTAGTTTGCAACATTTCACCACTACCAGAAGAGGCTTGCACTCTATCAACATAACGGGAAGCATCTTTTTTATCTTTTTTTTTTTTTTCTGAACAGCCAGCCATGGAGACAGATCAAACCTTAGTATGGCAAAGTCACACTACGCCCTCCTTTAATTCAAAGGGGAACAAAACAACAGAAAGTGGTATATTACTTGGGACGCAGAACCACATGGGGTGGTGCACTAGCTTATGCTGGATAAAACCTTTTGAAAACTCTCCGTGGTCATCCTTGAAACAGGTTCCCAACAGGGAGGTCTGACCAACATAGACAGGATCAGTTTTTCCTTCAGTCGGAGTTCAGCTGTCTAAAAGGTGAGGAGGAACCAACAATCTACATATAAATAAGCCAGATCTGTACAACGGATGAGCACACAAAACTCAAGCTCTGGAACAAAGCAAAAGCCTAGAAGTGGATGAACAATCAGAACTTTCCACCGGAGTTTACAGCTGGTAAGCACTAAGAAAAAGAAGAGAGACTAGCTTCACAGATACAAGTTCAAGACTCACCCATCCTTCCTGTGTCTGGGTTAGCTTGTTGTAAAAACACTGGCAGTACTTGTCAAACCTGGGTGGTTGAACAGAAAATAGACAGCTGGTACTAATGTTCAAGTGGTAATGAATCAAAGCTGGTACTAATGTTCAAGTGGTAATGAATCAAAGCTGGTACTAATGTTCAAGTGGTAATGAATCAAAGCTGGTACTAATGTTCAAGTGGTAATGAATCAAAGCTGGTACTAATGTTCAAGTGGTAATGAATCAAAGCTGGTACTAATGTTCAAGTGGTAATAAATCAAAGCTGGTACTAATATTCAAGTGGTAATGAATCAAAGCTGGTACTAATGTTCAAGTGGTAATGAATCAAAGCTGGTACTAATGTTCAAGTGGTAATGAATCAAAGCTGGTACTAATGTTCAAGTGGTAATGAATCAAAGCTGGTACTAATGTTCAAGTGGTAATGAATCAAAGCTGGTACTGAGACTCATATAGCAATGCATGAAAGCTGCTTCTAGTTCATACAATGAATGAACACTGCAACAAATGTTTAATGTGAAAGAAAGCTAATACTAATTTACAATTGGAAAGGCTTTGCACTCGATGCTACCAGTGTCAGACAGAGGCACTAACAATAAACCATACAAGAAAATTAGTAACTATGAAAATGAGATTTCTGAGTATGGCTTTAATGGTCTGACCGTTTTGACTCTATACTATGCAAGGCAAACAACACAAGAGGAGAAGGATGTAGAGCACAAGGTAGATCACATACAAGGTAGCAGTAAAAGAGATAGTGAAGAAGAAAAAGAAGAATGCTTTAAAAAGGAATCCAGAGGGCCTAAAAAAATAATTATTGAAGTTAAGAAAAAAAAAAGAATATTAGACTGAAGTGAATAAACTGGTGGGGAAAACAAAGAATGAGCAAAGAATAGGACAACCTGGCATGAGCTGGTTAAGAATCAATTATTCAGATGAAGAGTTGCTGAAAAATTGAAACCATATGTCCTTTTAATTGTCAAACTCTCCAGTATCTCATGATGTGCAAAATATTTCTTGTGCGTTGACTTTTAAAGGAGTAGATGCCACGCTGTGTTGCGGTTTACAGCTAGGTTGCAAGATCAGCAACTTTAGGTTTAGCATATCCAATTTTAGCAAAACCTTAACAAGTTGCCTTTAACGGCAGGGTTAAGGGGAATTGGATTTATTTTGTTTTATCCGTAAACTGGGGCCATGAAATCCACACAGCGATGCAAAGCTCCAACATGCTCCTTTAACCACATGCTTGTTAACTCTTTCAGTCTCAAGAAATGCATGATGTATGAATAACTTTAACTACTGATTTCATGCCATAACATAATACACTCTCTCATTTTTTTATATTCGGCCAGAACATACTAAACAATCTGGCCTCCTCCAAATGGTCACTGTCACTGTCTAGGTCGCCAGTTCTCCCCGTATGGGTTCTGCGATCCCACTGTGGGAAGAAAAAACAGAACAGACCTACTGTCCCTTAAAAAGCAAGTAGTAAGAGTAGATTAATCAGGGGTTTTCTTCGAAGATAGAGCATCTGCCTCAGAGGCATGAAACCAACAGGCTACATACAAATAAGTCCAATCTGTAAAATGAATATGCACATAAACTTAATTTCGGGGAAAAAACTAAAGTCCAGAAGTGGATGAAGAGCCAGAACTTTCCTGTAAAGTTTAAAGCTGGTGACCATAAAGAAGAATGCAATTCATGACTTTTCATCAGGTGTTTTCTTCACTTTATGTATCTACCATTTGAGCTTCTGAAACTGTTAAGGAACAATCATTGGGGCAGTAGGTCTATTCTGTTTTACCCCCAAAATGGGCCCTGAAATGTACATGAGGATGCAAAGAACTAACCTCTCCCCTTTCTTAATGTGTTTAACAACTTCAACGATACTGTCCATTAAAATACTGGCTTGAAGATCACATCTCAAGCTTGGCAAGTAATCGCTTCTGTCAGTCAATGAACTCAGCACATCTGTACATAACTGCAGACAACTTGTGGTTTCAGAACATTTCTGCTGCACCTAGTGAAGATACAAGCAATCAGAAAAATTCCTTTTCCTCTTTCATTCACTTAAAATAGATTATCTATATCTGCAATGTTGTATGTAGTATGAACATCCCTGTCTTTCATAATTCACTCAGCAACCTATAAAGTTGGACTTGCACCAGTATTCCTCTTGGCCAAAAGTTTTTGCCTTGATATATTGTATTGGAGACAGTCTTGGAGGATATGATCTGATGTCTCAGGTGCCAATCCACCTGTGCATATGGCTGATTCACCAATCTTAAACTCTGTGTTTATGTGGCTGTGAAGTCAACTGTGTCCTGTCCTAAAGTTTAGAAGAATGACTTCCTGTGGTCTGTCCATAATATGGTAATCATCTTGTGCCAGTTGTGATGGCTTTCTGACTGATCTGATTATTCTCTTCTTCTGTTCATAAGTGACTGGTACATCAGGTTGTTCTTCATTTACACCTTCCTTAACTCTCTCATTACCGGGAACTCCACAATGAGATGGTATCCACTGCATAGTTACTTCAGAATCTGAAAAATGAATTGAGAGTCTGGAGATATGGATATACATATAGTGTGCTTTTGGGAGGTATGGCAAAGAGTTCCAATTCTGATGGCACCAGTAACTATCTGATGTACATTCGTCTGAGTGTTGAGCATTGGCCAAATCCCCTGATAACTCCTGCAGCGCCATTCTCCTCAGGCAGTAATGGTGTATTTGTGCCTCTGCACTGTTCACAAGCTATCCAAAGGGCCCTCACAATGTCTAGCTTGTCATACATCAATTCACTACAAGTGGTGCAGAACTGGCCAGTTTATCTGCCTGCTCATTTCCCAACACACCAGCATCACCTGGAGAAAATATCCAAAGGACCATATGGGACCTCTGAAGCAATTCTTGCCACGTTTGCACGAAGCATACCTGTCTCCACCTTTCTCAACATATCTGTGAGACAGTTACAATTACAACATGTTTGTACAGCTGATTCTCAATCCAGTAAAAGCAGCAGTGACTGCCTCTACCTCCGTTCTCAAACTAGACATTGTGATATCATATGCCAGGCTTTGTTCCACTAAGCGACGTCCATTGCTTTTGCTATGAACCCCCATGCACTTCGTCTACCTCTCAACACAGAGCCATCTGTACAGATAATCACATCACCTGGGCGGGAATTGTCATCAATCATTTGTTTAACTTTTGATGTCATGAATCATTTGTTTCACTTCCGATTCTGCAGCACCAGCTGGCCAGTCCCTTTACTCACGACCTCAAGTTATTTAATTAGGACCCTATACCAGTCTGATTCTTGCTTGGACACACTGACCCACTCCTCTCCTCACCCAAATTTACAAGCCTGCCCACATGTCTAATTGTATCTTCAGCTGGCACCATCCAAGACCTTCCTCTATTCAGTGTGTGAAATTTAGCTCTAGCTAGGGCTTCATGCAGGAGGTTCTTCTTGTCTGCAGCTACTCTGAAATATGACTTTGCTTGTAGAGCTTTGAGCCTATCTGCAATAGTCGGCAGTGCAAGTAAACATCGCACAAATACTAACGGGGTGTCCCTAGTACGTCCCAGAATTACCTGCATGGCTTTATTCTGTATGCGCTCAAGTTTCATCAGCTGATTCTTTATTGTGGTAGGCAGTCCAAGTCCATAATCTATTACCGACAGGATCACATGCTGAAACATTATCAGCAGCATTCTTTGTGTAAATGACATAAACAACAGCTAGTACCAATATTCCTACTATATTTCCTCTTATATCTTTTTACAGTTATTACCTCCTTTAAGATTTTCAAGCCTTCAGGACATTTGGCCAGAATTTTATAGAGTCTCTCCTGTGATGATGAGGGGAATCTGGGATTAGATATCAAAGCCTGGAAGGAAAGATTATAAGTATTATGTAAATATCAAAGGATATGATCCATCCACTATCTGTCCATCTTTCCCTCCACCTTCCTACCTATCCATTTATTTACCTACCCATCCATCCTCATTTATATCCATCTTCCATTCACCTTTCTACTTATCAATCCATCTACCTATCAATTCATCCATCCTTCCATTATCTATCCATCTTTCCCTCCACCTTCCTACCAAACAGTCCATCTACCTACCAATCCATCCATCAAGCTATTTATCCTTAAACTACAACTACCTCTTTCCCTCCACTTTTTTACCTATCCACCTATCTACTACCCATCCATCCACCTATCTACTACCCATCCCTCCATTCCATCTACCTATTCATCCATTCTTATATCTTTTATCCATGTGATGAAAAGAGAAGCCTCGGAGAAAACCTTGATGACTGGAAAGGCTACCAGTAGAAGAGGCAGAGGTAGACTAACTGAAATGATGCTTGATGGCCTGAAGCAATGGCATCATGGAATACAATCAGTGGAAGTGACTCAGAATACCAAGGACAATGATCTGTGGAAAAACATAAGCGCCTAGGCCACCTGGCAGGACACATGACGAAGAAGACACATCTATTTACCTATTTATACACAAAACGGCCTGTCTTCTTCCAACCTATTCTACTGAAGGACAGAATATAATAAAGGGCTGGGTGCCCAATTTGTGATCCTTTAAGAATCAAGTCTGTTTATTCTATTTGTCCACCCAACACATGAATACCTCAACAAGCAAAGTCCTAGCACAGCCCAGACTGTCCACTGACAGCACCAGACATGATACGGGATCCAGAAATGCCACCATCTGCCGCATCTGGCTATTGACATCTTGTTCAAAGTCCTGACCTTTGATTTCTGTGTACAGCTGAAATATTCAAGAGATAAACAATATGATGTTAGTGTTAATATCATGTCCTCTTCTAAAAGTTAAAGGTAAAGGTCGAGAGGATTGACTTCATTGCACCAGGTTGTATCCCATATTGCTAAGCCTCTCTCCACAGAACAGTCAGCGGTCTGCCAAGAGTGTCGCCAAAAGCAGGAACACTAAAGCTCCGGGAACGATTTTCAGGGGTCTCTGTAAAAATTGCTCAGGAACCAAACAATGCAGCCATGAAAAAACCCATGACCTTCACAGCGCAAGGCAACGGCTTAACCATCTCATCATAGAGACCCCTCTTGTCATCATCTGATACGGGTAATTGATTTTGTTTGTGAGATCATTTCTTTCAAGACTTCTTCTTACGATTACATCCCTGATTTACACTGACAGATACGTTCCTATTACCAGGGTTTATTAAAAGTGACAATTTTTTGGGAGTTCCTCATTAGTTCCAAATAACTTTGAGTATGGTGTTGAATCATTGAGCCAGTATTTTCTTTTTAATGGTCGTTTAAGGAAAAGTCTTAAAGGACATGTTCAATGGTTTGTGCGCACAGCCCACATGTGCACAGGGGTGAACAGTAAATATGCTTGCTAAGATTCAAGACATTATTATGTTTTTTTAATCGATTCATTACTCACTATCACTCATCTATAAAATAACTTCTTTGCAGCTTCCTAAAATATTTAATATGCAGGGCACTTAAATAAAAAAACCACTATCGACTTTAGCGAGTACATAAGTCCCCCTTTTCCTACCAGTGAAAATGAATAGGGCATATTATGCTAGACATATTTTATAGACCAATGGCAATTTGGTCAACATCATGATAGCTGCCTTGGCTTCCCAGGGCTTTACCTCGGATACATTTCAGGTAGGAATGACCTGGGAAGCCAAGGTAATTTTTGAAAGAAAAATATCAGAATGTAGATTGAAACATAAGACTTTCAGGCTGGCAGGTGGAGCATCTAGCGGCTACACCACTGCGGCTCCCTCTATCACCTTTACCAGACAGCAAAAACCATGTGCCTTTCTTCTTCAGGATTATGAGACCTTGAGGTTCACTGAGAGAATTTTCTGCAGATTTTTCTTTGCATTCCTAGCTGTAGAAAACTTCTGGTTGTTCATCCACTTTTGGACTTTAGTCCTGTTCCAGAACTGGGTTTTGCATGCACATCCATTTTTCAGATCTGACTTTTTTGCATGCAGACTGTTGGTTCCTCATCTCTCAGGCAGGTGCACTCTGGCCTTGAAGAAAACCCCCAATTAGTCGACTCTTAAAAAATGCTAAGGGACAGTGGCTTTAGTCTCCCCCCTCCACCCACCATACAATGGGGCCCTGAAACCCACAAAAGGTGCCGGTATTCACCATAAAGTGCCGATTTCATTAGTGCTGAAAAAGATTATGCTTAAAATGGTCTCGGTACTGTGTACCTTTGTATACCTCTGCCTAAAAACCATGAGACCATTTCCTTTTTTAAAACGACCGCCGCAGACATCGACCCTAGTACAGAGGAATCATAACACTGAATTTTATTCATTATCCTCTAAGCTATAGGGAGTCGCCCTGGCGTAACGGCTAGACGCTTGTGTGCGGATCGGGAGGTCAGGGATTCGCTCCTTGGCGGAGCTGGACTTTTTTCAAAAATGACCTTGACTCCCAGGTCGACCCAGCCTTGAGTTGTTACCGGGTGCAGTCCCAGGAAGCAAAGGCGGCCAGTGTGATGCTGACCAAATCACCCATCTTGTGCTGATCGGTCTATAAAAATATGTCTAACCCTATATGCCTAAAGGCGTGGAAAGGGGACCTTTATCCTCTAAGCCATAGAGCCACCAGCTTCATAGTAAATTCTAAAGTAACAACTGTGTGAAACAGAAAGGCGTGAAACAGAAAGGCGTGAGACATAAGGGTTTGAAAAAAAATTATTATATTTTTAATCAATAAACTATCCCTAGCCACCACCTTTTACAACACACAGTCAACAATACCTCTTGGCAGTAATCAACCCAGTCGAGAGCGTTCGTCAAAGACAGATCATCCCACAGTGCCACACTTTCATGAGAAGCAAGGTTCAAGATCTTTATAAATTCAAATATGTTTTTTAATATGGCAGATGCAGACATGAGATTGACACTCATATTCAAAGTAGTGCAGGCATGTCTATCATAAATGCAGGCTAACGGCTGATATTTGTATTCAAAGATGTGCAGACAAATCTATCACTGATGCAGAGGTACAGCTAATTTTTGTACTCAAAGATGTTAGACGTATCCACCACAGATGGATATGTGCAGCTTATACTCATCATATTCAAAGATTAACTGAAAGGTTTATCAAAGAAATGATGGATCCCTAAGACTTATGCTTGTGATCAAGTATTTCTTCTTTCAGCAGTCCACCCTTGGTAAGCGTCACCTGTTATATGAAATTAAATGAGAATTCAATATCAGAAAAGTTAAAAGACTTGTCCGTATGCTTCTTATTTTCCTAATAACAATAATAATAACCTTATAAAAAGTTGAATGGGTATCTGAAATGTTTCTGTTGAGTTTGCTGACTGTTTTGTCCCTTTTCATGCAGCTACCCTTTAGATTAAACTTAAACCATACCTCTGAACCAGGGGTGCAAGCCAATGAAATAATTCAAATCCAAGATATCCGTTCAAGCTCCATCAGGATAATGATCTGACATCACAGCATTCAGCACAAGCCATCAACAGCCAGGAAAAAAAGTTTCAATACTGATGATTCTCGTCATCTGGTTAACTACTCGTCTTACACCCTCCGCACCCCCCTTCCCTTTTAGTAGCACCCAGATAGACACCCACATTTGTATTCAATTAACTGTTTTAGACTGTACCATACTCACACTATGGCTAAGCTGCATTAAAATCATTGCAGCTATTCTTTATGTAACAAAGTTAATATGCTATGTGTATAGGTCCAATTTTCTGCCATTTTTTCTTTGAAATTTTGTTCAGCACTCTATGAGAACCTTGAGCCTCTGAGTGATAAACTAACCCAGAAATGTATCATAACTTTTGAATCTGTTAGGAAAGTGAACAAACTTGTTATTCTCTAATTTCAATATTTACTGCTCTTGAGGTAAGTGAAGATTTTTATTTTATTTTTGGTTAAATATTTTTGGTTGTCTTTTTTCCTACTAACTCTAACAGTTTTAAACAAAACAAATCATCAGATCCAAAATGTACATTTATTCCTCTTTAAACATATATAAATGTGTAGTTTAAAAAAAATATATATATATATACACACACATACATGCATATATATTAAATATTTTTTTAAAATATATATATATATATTGTGTGTATGTATATATATATATATGTATATATGTGTGTACATATATATATATAATATATATATATATATATATATATATATATATATATATATATATATATATATATACCCACACATTTATATACTTTTGTAGGAATTAGAAATATATTACATTCTCAATAGCCTGTTGTGTTACTTTTTTTTGGGGGGGGGGGGGGGATTTTTGTAAAGGGACATTAATGTGAGCCAAGTCTGTCAAAATTAATGTGCCTGAAAGAGTTAATGATGCAGGCACTGTTTATTGTCTTTTCAGCCAGTGCCATCCAGGATCCGTGCCTCTTTCTTCAGTCTGTACCCTTTAGTTTTTAATTCAGTGTTCAAACTTCAAAAAATAACATAACCAGAAACTTGGTAATAAATAAACTTGTGTACCCTCTGCCCTAGGAGGTGGGTAACAGAAGACCTAAGGATAAAGTAAACAGGACATGTGACATCCGAAATGTGACACACAGGCTCGGTTAGGGTAGCTGTGTGTGCGGGTGTCAAAGTATCATCAATCCCAACGTTAGGTTTGTCTTATTATTAAGACAAGATAACTAACTTGTTTGGGATTCTCCCGGTCGAAGGATAAGACTCGAGTGGATAATACTAACAGAAGAGTGTCCCCACATTTCTGAAATATCACACCAACATCAGTATTACATAACATGTGACAACGGTTACGAAAACAGTTACAAATTTTAATTTAATTTAGCTCCCTTTCAAAATGACAAGTCTATACAGTAAAGCCAGCAATCGGAGCAAACCATTCATAAATAAGAGTCAGACATTTTGTAACTGCGCCAGTTCTGTATGCCGATTAGGACAGCAGTGTGTAGGGGGAAAATCAAAGCTGACATGAGGTAATGAACACTATACTGTATCGTATATCCCAATTTTTATTGTAGTCCTGGTTTAAACGTGTTATTATCTTTTGTAAAAACTACTAATTTTACTGAAGAAATTAATTACATAATTTTTTTTTTTCTGTCCCTGTTTAACTCTTCTGCTTGAGGCTGTGACTTTTGACACTTTTGTTAATTTTTTTTTGGACAAATCTCTTCTTTCCGATAACCATTGTATAACACATTTTCTGCCTACAAAAAGCCAGATAGGTAAAACGGATGTGTATGCTAAACTCAAGCTCTGGAACAAGACTAAATTCTAGAAGTGGCCGAACAACCAGCACTTTCCCCCCAGAGCCTATTGAAGTTCAAAGTACTTCAGACAATAAAAGTGCATAGCTACAATAATGTGTGTGTTTGCGTATCATTAAACTAACCAATGTTAAAGTGTCTTAACATTATGAAATTCTCGAAACAAGTGCATTTATAATTGCAGATAATTTTTTCCCTAAGAAAGGTGCCGGTATCCACCATAAAGTGTAAACAAAAACAAAAAAGACCAGGTACTGACAAAAAAAAAAAGGGTTTGTTTACAGAATGCAGGAAAAAATGCTGCCTAAAAATATTTATAAATAAATGAGTGAAATTGAAGTATAAAATATAGGTGACTGAAATCGAACTGATATCAAGAAGTAAATTAAGGCAACACAAACTGTGGCTAAGAGGGAAAGAAATATACGGTCACAAATACAATAAAAAGTTTCCACCAGGCTTTTTTTTTTTTGGGGGGGGGGGGGGGGGGAGGGGGGGGGGGGGGGGGACAAAAAAAAAGCAGGAAAATGAATATCCATTGAGCCTATTAATTACATTTGGCCAACAAATTCCAAATATGACTTGCGTTTCCATGCAAACCTTGACAGTAGCCGGTTTCTTTAATAATAATAGTTGTAACAACAGAGATGAGATGTCTAAGTAGAGCTGCCGGTGACACAAGATGAGAGAAAATCAAGAATGAAGAAATTAGAAGAAGACTAGGACTGAAACTAGTGCAATTCATTAAAGGAAAACAAAGGGGATGGTTTGACCAACTGGCAAGAATGCCCAGGTACCAACTACCACAGAGAGCCACGCTGAAGAAATATAGTGAACACGGAGCAAGGGAAAGACCGCGCAAGAGATGGGGCAACATCACCAGGAGCAACCTAACAGAAATCAACACTAAACTGTAAAATTCACTGGGATAAGCGCACAAACGATCCTTACATCTCTCCCCACGACACCTCGATGAGGTAAATGATGGAAGAGAAGAAAAAGAAGAAGTTAGGAAGATTATCCTCACTGCACATCGGACAAGTCCATGAGCGCTCGGATTCCATTTTCAGTGTCTCCCTCAGCGAGTGGCGACTGACAACAATAGTTCTGCGTTGGTTTACTATTCTTCTTTGGTTACCCGTATAGTGTTCATGTTTGGCGACACCTTTTTTTTTTTTTTCTTTTTCATCATAAAATGCCGACTAAGCATGAGTTTAAAAAATCCACGGTGTTTGTAAGGCCTCAATACACTGTATGTAGGAAAAATTTGAAAAACAAGTATAAGACGTCATAAAATATGTGCTCCACAGTCAGTCGTGTAGCAGTATGCACCGAATGGTTGTCGTCTGCTGGAGTAATTCGTTGCACTCAAAACAGAATAGTGTTTTCAACGGGGGAATAAAGATGTTTTTGGTTGAACTAGTGTTTCAAAATAGAGGTTAGCCACGAATATATTGAATAAGTGGCCGTGAACCAAAACAGGTGATGGTCATTGAGAGGAGGCGAGTTAGTTGGTGGGACAGCTAACTCTATAAAATACCTCAAAACTCTACGATATGGCCATCGGCGGGTAAGAGGCGCCATAACCTCTCCCACCCCCCCCCACCCCCCCCCCCCCCCCCCCCTCTGCTGCCTTGCAGGGTAAGTCTCTTTAGACAAAGGCCATTGGAGTCAAACCATATACAAATCGGCGGAAGTCAAGGGGAAACCACTGCTGTATTAACCCTAGTCAATCATGCCTCAAAATATTACGAATTCAGATAACGACGTGAATTGGGATTCCAGTGGAATCACCTCGTCCGGTAGGGAGCATCATGTTCTACGGGTGATACCCGACCGTCATCCAGCTACTGTAGAAAAAGTAAATGGTAGAAACATCATGAACATTGGTACATGGAATGTCAGAACACTTGTACAAAACGGAAAGCTGGATAACATCAAGATGGAAATAAAAAGAATGAACAATATTAGGAATTAGTGAAATGCCATGGCCAGGAGCAGGGAAAACGTATTCAGATCAGCACATAATTATTTACTCAGGTGGGAAGGAATATAGGAAGGGAGTTCGTATTATTTTGGATCCAAAGAACTCAAGCAACCAAGAAGTTTTGAAAGAGGCAGGAGCCCGAAGACAACTTATCACAGACATCATAAGGAGACAGTCATCATTATTCGGCCATGTTATGAGAAGAGGGAAAATAGAACATGTTGTGACCACTGGAAAGATCTGTGGAAGATGGGATAGAGGAAGACAACGAGAGAAGATTCTTAACAGTCTTGTTGCATGGCATGGAGGTGTGTCGGCACACGAACTGATACATGCTGCATGAGATCGTGGATTATGGAGAGGCATGATCGCCCACGCCAGTCGGTAAGGCATCTGATGATGATGAAAAAGATAAATAACAAATTTTAATTTGTAATTGACCACTATTTATATACACAGTAATATCTTATATTACAGAAATATGGGCAATGAGCAGGCAGCTAGATAACTGAAATGAGACCAAATACAGATGTTCTGGAAAGACTAAAAATGAAAATAGTTATTCTTCTTCTTCTTCACGTTCACCAGCTGTAAACTCTGGCGGAAAGTTCTGGTTGTTCATCCACTTTTGGACTGCAGTCCTGTTCCAG